TTTAATCGGGTCTTTTATAATTTCAAAAATTTTAATAGACATTGATAAAATTTAAATTTATAGGGACTACTCCAAAGTACTAGAGATTGAAAAATTGGGTCGTGAAGGACAAAAAATTGACACTTAGACTTGGTAAAATGAATTTTAAAACACTACAAAAGTATTTGTTGAATTTATCATGTAGCAGATGTCTTATATGAGCTAGGTGCTTTAAAATATAAAATTCCTGAAAAACTTAAATAAATTATGTATTTCTTATTACTTTAAACAATCTTAATTTTTATTTTTTTTTGTTCATTTTTCCTTTTTTCTATTAAACTTAATGATTTTATAAGAGTAGATTTACTAAAATGTGTGCATGTACTAGATCAGATGATGATCAGTCGACTAAATATCCTAGAATTCAAACAACCCGCACAGGTTGAACAATTTCAAAACACGATAATCACAAGAACTAAAACAACTATCCCCTATTTCTTACAAGTAAATTTAGCTCATGTATCAAATTCAAAACCAACAATCATCCCAATCACAAGACTCACATCTATGGATAAGATAAAATAAAATCTCACCATTAATCCAAAGTCGAAAGATGATTCGAAATTACAAGCCAAAGTAATAGAATCCCCATCTTGGAGTGTCACTCTCCAAGTTCAAAATTCAAAAGAAAAATGTTTGGAAAGTTGAAAAATTGATGTTAGCAATGTCTAGGAATGATCACCTATGTTTGGCACGATTTACAGTATATACAAGTTCGAAACGAGGTTAAGAACCCGTTCAGGGGCTTCCTTCGGTGGTCGTCCTCTCCAATTTTCGTGGCCACTCGCGATGCTGCGGGGTTGTATATATTCCATTTAGCAGATGGCACAAATATTTTAGTATAGATTAAATTGTTTCTACATCTAGAATGTCATTGGATGGCTTGGAAAGAACCGAAACGCTTGTAAGGAAAATTTTGGATGTATTACCTAAATCAGCTTTAAATTGGCATCTTTTGGTTTTAGTTGCCGTATGGAATGTTTTAATGACACTGCATATGATGTGAGATGATGATGATTTAAAACATTGGTTGGCTCTGAGGAGACCGTTCGATGGAGTTGCATCTATGTGCTCAATAGTAGGAATGGAGCATCGGTGCCAAAAACTTTAGAAATGAGACCGTGCAGTTTTTCTGATGTCTGATATTTAAACTAAATTTGTTATTTGTGTTAGAATAATTGTGAGTGTATATTAATTAGTTAAACCACCTCAACCACCACACCATATTTTCCAACCAATTTCAACAAATTCCAACAATGTTTTCTCTACTTTTCAACAATCAAAATGCTGCCAATGGGATATATATATATATCATTTGATGCAAATGGGAGACAGACAAAACACGGCAGAGAAGAGAAAAGGAAGGAAAAAGAGAAGAAAGAAAAAGAAAGGAAAGGGAAAAGAAAATGGTTGAGTGATAAAAATATTTATGATAAAAATAGAGAAAAATTATCAGAGAGATAATTTAATTACTAATTTTATGTGCTCAATTCTCTACTCTAATCCAGTTTGCCGGAGCTCGTAAATCTGATGTGCTATAGATTTAGAAACGTTTGCCGTTGTATCTTTGGGGAAGTTATGCCTGAACCGTTAGCAGCCACACAGGGCGTATTCTTCTTGCGGAAAGAGTTTTACTCGCCTCGACTAAAATCTTTCTGTTTTAATTTTTTTTTACAGTTGTATTTTATATATTGCATTTATCTAATTTATTTCAGTTCGTAGGTATCTCGTGTGTATTTCAACAAGATATATCCAACAATTTGTCTGTGGAGCTTTTCTGAAATTCAAGCTTTTTTTCTTTTTTTAGTTATTTAGAAGTTAATGTTTTTACTAATCAGTTTGAATGACATTATTGGTTCAATGATCTGTATAATGGCTTCTCTGATTTATTCGTATTGCTGTTTTTGCTTTGTTTGTGACCTGTCTGCACTTCTATAGGTCTGCACATTTAGTTTTGTGCCATTGAAGACTTATCTGCCTGATGGTGATATTGATTTGACGGCTTTATGTGACAGTCTGAATTTGAAATATATCTGGGCCAATCAGGTTCAAGATTTATTAAAGAATGAGGAAAAGAACAAGAATGCTGAATTTCATGTGAAGGAGGTTCATTATATCCAAGATGAAGTATGCTCTCTCATACATTCTTTATGATCTTTATCTTTAGCTTATTAATTATTCCCTTATGTGTTCCTGGCCTCTATGCCAGATGATCTGTCACACGTTATTCAGTCATCATCTAGTACACTCTTTCATAAAATACCACAGGGCTAATTAAATTCTTCGTCTCACCTACATTGCTGATTGATAAAGCAACATAATCTTTTCTTTTCTTTTTTTTTTTTTCTCTGCAACATGCTGTAATTATTCTATTGAGATGGAGGAGCATGCTAATTGCGACACATGAGGTTTTGGGAGATAAAAATTGTTGTTGAAGTGTTGTGATTCGAGACTTACTTGCTGGTTCAGCTGCTAGGATGAGCTGCAAAATAGCCTTAACCTAGGTTCTTCATTCTTGGCATCTAACAATAATTGAATGCATTCACTTGTAACTGTATTTGAGTATGTGTAGAAAGTGAGATCTTGGCAAATGAATTTATAGACCTTTTATATGGTACAAACCTTTTATGCAGGTTCCCATACATTTATTTGTTGTCATCTTATTTTATACTGCAGGTGAAAATAATCAAATGTCTAGTGGACAATATTGTGGTGGACATTTCTTTTAATTAGGTTGGCGGGCTTTGTACACTCTGTTTCCTTGATGAGGTGCGTACTAGTTTACAACCATATTTACTAGTGAAAATATCTGAGAACAATAACTATCATGATGTTTATACTTAAAACGAGAGATTCATTATCTGAAAGAGCCTTATGTTTTTCTGCTTCTTAGGTTGATCACCTCACAAATCAGAATCATCTGTTCAAGCGTAGTATTATCTTGATCAAAGCTTGGTGCTATTATGAGAGCCGAAAATTGGGTGCTCATCATGACATCATGGTCTCATATCTACCTATGCCTTGGAGACCTTAGTTCTTTACATCTTTCATGTGTTCAACAATTCCTTTCATGGACCCCTTGAGGTGAATCCATTCTTGTTATGTCAATGTTCCAATTCCTGTCTTCGATTTTATATGATAGTTACACACACTTACTTGTGATTTGATGTGCTTGTGAATATACAGAATCATCTTTCAAACTTGCCATTGGTTTATACCGAACAAATATTCTTTTTTGGAAGGTGCAATTTGTAAAATAGAAATACTTGTTGAGGGGGTATTTGTAACTTGTATGGTAACCAGAGACTTTTTTTTTGAATGATATTTATCCTCCTGGGTATTTGTCTGTAATTAACCCCTTTAATATTCAATGGCGGTATAGTAGTTTGTTCTTAGGTGCGGGATCTGATTTGCAATATTTTACAGCGGAACCTCCTCGAAAGGACAGTGGAGAATTGCTTCTTAGCAAGTTGTTTCTTGATGCTTGTAGCTCTGTGTATGCTGTTTTACTTGGTGGTCAAGAAAATAATGGACAACCGTTTGTTTCAAAACATTTTAATGTGATCGACCCATTACGTGTGAACAACAATCTCGGGCTTAGTGTTAGCAAAGATAAGTTGTAATATCCCTTGTCCTGACCCTATCCTTCATTTTTCCCTTTTGGTTCAAAATATTGGTTAACCCTTTTTGCTGCGTATGCATCTTTGTACTCTGCGGCTGGATAGGTGGGACCCTGCGGCTGGATAGGTGGGGCCAACTTGGAGCTGGGAGGGCCAGCGAGCAATCACTTGGGGATCGACTCCTTGTGTGCGGTAGTTGAGGGTATGAAGTTGGGAGCCATTGTGTGGCTACCGCGGTTTAACTGGAGGCAGTTTCTGATAGGCCAGGAGCTGTTTCCTCAAGGATTAGTCAGGCGCAAGCCTGGAACCTCGGTATAAAAAAAAAAAAAAAAAATTGTCACTATCTTTTGGATTAAATATTCATGATATTATTCAAATCGAGAAATGTGCCTTTGATTTATTATATATCCTTGGTACGTGGTTCTTTGTCTGTCTTAAATTGTTCTTTAAACCTTGAATTGGTCATATATAATATAAACTCTAAAATAATGACTTGTATAATGTTTTTGTATTTTGTATGCTATACCCATTTGACCACACTAATGGGCCCACATCATCAGAGGTAACGAGTGTGATATCACCTAATTCATCTGAGAATTACGAGTTGAGCTGCTCTATAACATCTGTCTCTGGTTTCACGTTGTCGACATATGACTGCAAAAAATTAAAGATACTGATGCAGATAGAGCATTAGTTTAAGGTTTAGTATTATTCTTATTATTATTATTAGCATTTAATATTATTATTTAATACTTTATAGCTTGGTGGACAAGATAGGTTTAGGACTTTAAGAGTCTTATTTAAAGACTCAGTCTTCTTTGTTATTAGGGGGTTGATTATGAATTAAAGATAAATTGATATTCGTGCTGCAAACGACAGGCGTGTCGCCACCATCTACAACCTGAGCCGCCAGACCGAGTGGTTTGGCCGCGAGCTCGAGATTATGGGTCGTCAAATTGTAGATCTGTCCGCGGAGATCGGGGACATACGTCAAACTATCTGTACCATGGTTCGGGACAAGCAAATGTACCGTGGCGCTGGCAACCGGGGCGTGTGCGGGGGAATTCGTGGAGGACGTGGAGGCCGTGGTCCAGGCGGGGCACCCTGCCGGGGATCTTCACAACCACCGTCCGGCGATGAAGACGGCGAGGAGACAATCTCAGGGGTGAATCCCTTCGGCGATTATCCACCCCCGCACGTCGAGGCTAATCCCTTCGCTGCATACAACGGCCGTGACATGTGGCGACAGGGCCCGGTCTTCGTGAACGTCGAAGATCAACGCGACGACAGAGACAAACGCGATTGGGAATGTGATCGAGAATATGGTCGATGGGAGGGCCCGTTTTGCGTTGACATCCCCGAATTCGACGAAGAGCAAGTTGACAGGCCATTGTGCGATGGTCCGCCGATGTTTGATGAAGGACCCGAGGAGGTAGAGGAGCGTCTTACCGGCGAAGAGGACGGTCTCTACGACGGTCCGCCGATTTTTAATGAGGAGCCTCCAGGACCAGAGGAATTCTATCATGTTCCCGGTATCGAATTTCAGTTGTTGGACGAATTGGTAGTTCTTCTGTTGCGCAGGCCCGAGCTATTCTCCCACGGGAATTTATTGCGGCCTTACAAACAGATGTAATTTTTTGGTCCCCATGGTGATTTCAAGATTCTGTGTGTGGTTGCTGCATGTATACATTTCCATGAATTTCAAGGGGGTGATACCATAGAGGTGGGACATTCAACCTTCGTGTTCGACAGGGGGAAACGCCGGGTGATGATTGCCATGGGTACGACTCCGGTGTCGCCACGTTTGGTACGGCTTCGAGGGCGAAGCCTTCCGAACCGGAGGAGAATGATGCAGATAAGTCATTAGTTTAGGGTTTAGTATTATTCTTAATATTATTATTAGCATTTAATATTATTATTTAATACTTAGTAGCTTGGTGGACAAGATAGGTTTAAGACTTTAAGAGTCTTATTTAAAGACTCATTCTTCTTTGTTATTAGGGGGTTGATTATGAATAAAAGATAAATTGATATTCGTGTTTAGATGTTCTTGAGATTGCGATCTCATTAATATCGTTTCACTCGTACGCTTCCCTACATCAGATACTAGCCCTAAGTTTAGCATAATAGAAATCCCTAAAAAGGAGAAAAAATATGCTATTTGTGAAAGTTACTAGTATCTTTATGGCATTACAAAACTGGTCTAGTTGAAACCTTAAGGTAATAAGGGTGCAATTGTGATATTGAAGGATAGTGGAGTTTTTTTTTCCCTTCTTCTCAGTTCGATTAAACGGAAAATTTCTCCCATCGTCGACATTATTTTTAGAACCGAGTCTTTAGATGGCTGATATTGTTTATGAATTCCTTTAATCACATGGAACATTGACCTCAAGTCTTGTACGAATAATCAATGTCAACTTATCTTCAATCATCTGCATAGTGCCTTGTGCAAATACAATTATTCTATTGTTTCATTCAATTTGCTTATGCTGGAAGAATTAGACCACTTAATCATGATTTCTTAATTTGTTGGCACATTTACCCTTCTCATGATACTTATCAGTTTTCGACCAATCTTGGCAATATTAATTCCGGTACACTTTAAACAGGTGGGGTTGATGTTTTTCCAATTTGGTGGCTTAAAAGAAACACCATTTTCAGGGGGATGAGGATATTACTCAAGCTTCTACTGAGGCATAAGGTTGATATGATATGGCAAAATGAGTTCCTCTAATATTACCCAATTTTCCGAATCAGTATCACACATGAGTGACCTCCATGTGGCATGATTCTGGAGTGAAAAGGTTCGTCACGATTTTGGAAGCTTTTAATTAGAAGTTCGTGTTGGATTTTAGACGTGCGAATCAATCGCACACGCAGCGAAATTTTAAAATTTTCTTACCAACAATGAAGATCCGGCTATAGCTATTCGATTTTATCAAATACATGCCATATTTTACAATTTAAGCTTTGCCTTCAACTATGGTATCCACGCAACCCAGATCCCGGTGCACGATCCAACGCAGTGAATCCTTTCCGGTGAAGACGCTAGGAATCCTCAGTCAGAAAGCAAAGCGAGTTTTTGTGTTTTTACGGCGTATCTCAATTATCTTATTTCTCTATCTGATATGAGATAATTGCCTATTTATAATTTAGCTAAACCTAATTATATGGGCTTTAGGATAACCTATAGCCCAAAAGGCAATTGGACCTAATCCAATTAATGATATAATTAAGTCTAAGTCCAATTATACTTAATTATATATTTTCTATCGAATAGAAAATAATCTCATTACTAAAATTAAATATTCCAATCTAATTGAATATTTAACACTCTCGATTCACTCTTAGACGGAAAATGGATTGCATATTGTGTGACCCTATAGGCCTTCATATTGACATAAATCCGATTTATGATCCTTACGAAACTCCTAGACTGCGTCGAAGGACGAACTCAAAATATGAAGTACGTTTACGTAGACAAAGCAAACAAACCTTTGGTGTGGAATTCAATAGTGATACGGTCCCTTCATTCACGACTGTTGAAGCAAATTTTGTTTTATATTTTTCCGAGCACCGAGTTAAAAACTCGTTTCCCGGGTCGATCTCAAGGACTGGTCAATCGAACTATATTATGTGTAATTCAATTTCTTTTATATATATAATAATGCAGAAAATTAATCCAGATTTTTGCTTGATTACAACTAGAAATTTACATAACATTACAAAAACAGAAAAGAAAGACAGTAAATAACAGAAAGTCAACTGGAAAAGCAAAATAGTAAATAACAGAAATAAATTACAATAGTAGTAATAATAGTAATAATGATATTAATAATAATAGTAATAATAATAATAATAATAATAATAATAATAATATTTCTATATATATATATATGCGATAAGTAATTGGCAGGGAGTAAAGTGCGTAAAGTAAATAAAGCAATAAAATTACAACAGTAGAAATAAGCAATAAAATTGCAGAAAGTAAAGTGCAGAAAGTAAAGTGCAGAAAGTAAATTACAGTAATAATAGTAATAATAATACTAATAATAATAATAATAATATTTCTATATATATATATATGCGATAAGTAATTGGCAGGGAGTAAAGTGCGTAAAGTAAATAAAGCAATAAAATTACAACAGTAGAAATAAGCAATAACATTGCAGAAAGTAAAGTGCAGAAAGTAAAGTGCAGAAAGTAAATTACAGTAATAATAGTAATAATAATACTAATAATAATAATAATAATATTTCTATATATATATATATGCGATAAGTAATTGGCAGGGAGTAAAGTGCGTAAAGTAAATAAAGCAATAAAATTACAACAGTAGAAATAAGCAATAACATTAAGCAATAATAGTTAATATTTATAACATATATATATATATATATATATATATATATATATATATATATATATTAATAAGTATCCACAACTATTATTATTGTAGTAATAATATTCATAATCATTCCTTTAGGAACAATAAGAATAATTACGACTGCAATAACAATAATCGGAATATAAATTTATAACGTCTTAACGGAACGGAATTTACAGAATAACACTCGGATTTTAACTGGATAAACACTCGAATTTTAACTCACAACATAAAATAAAATTACACACACAAGTGTTTCAAGTACCAAATGAAAATAAAAACAAGAACAAGAATATCAAGAACACTAGAAAGTGTTTGTACTAATTCTAATATTTGTATCTAAGAACTCAAGCTAAAACTTCCTTCCCGGACTCTCCCTAAGACCTCTCACAAATGATGTATTTATACTAGTTTAAGAGGGGACAAAATCACATAAAAATCATCTTAAGATCATTATGCATTAATGGCTAGCATATCTATCAAAAATCTCCCAAAATCAGCCCAAAATCTTCCAAAATCCGCCCAACATCCATGTTTGAAAAAGTGGGCGCCGCCCATGTTGAACAAGACTTGGCCGCTTGCGCGGTTTTACGGTTTTGGCTCGTACGGGCTCGTC